ACATTATGGTTGGAACACATCATAATTCCCCAACTTGTACACTATTTCAAGCCTCTGGGGTCTTACTTGAACTGCTCTGTGTCCATGTAGAGTTCTTTTTCCCTCCTTTTGGTACGGATTCAAAACACTTGCCTCTCTCCTTTCCTTCTGCTAGGGAAAAAGAAGAGAGGAGAAGAGCCGAGGTTGATTTGGCTCAGTGGATAGAGTGTCGGCCTGCGGACTGCAGGGTCTCAGGTTCGGTGAGAGAGAGAGAGAGAGAGAGGAGGAGGGAGAGGAGGAGGATTGAAATTTCATTTGAGAGCCTAATTTTTTAAACTTAAACTATATAGGTTGGTACATTGTTATTAACTTAATTAGGTTACACCTAAGCTGGCCTTTGCTAAAAACGTCCTCAATCTGATTGAGGTACGTTCGCTGAGGTCGACCCCTTCCAACTCTCCCATCCACACTCGTCTTGTATGCTTGTTTCAGATAGACGAGTGTGGATGGGAGAGTTGGAAGGGGTCGACCTCAGCGAACGTACCTCAAAGCAATGTACCTCCCCCGCATTGCGTATCCCGCGGCCCACCTGCGCCACCCCCCACTTCTTCTAACGCCACTTCTTCAAAATAGACTCGCCCAGGCCGAAAACCGACTTCTGCGCATGGGCCACGAAGTTTCAATCGCACTGTATGTGCACGCCCGCACTTGGTATTTTGTGGAAGAGCCACACTCAAGGGGCCAAAGAGCCGCATGTGGCTCACGAGCCGTGGTTTGCCGACAACTGGTCTATCATGAGGCCTAGCGCACAGTAGGCACCCAGAAAGTATCTGAGGAACAAATATTGTCTTCCAATCATGTATATTTACTGCATTTTCTTCAACTAGCTTATAAGCCAAATTTGGGGGTCCCAGGTCCTATTTTGGCCTTTTTTTTTTTTCTTAACTCTAGAACTACTAATTCTACACTGTCTGCATAGTAGGTCCTCAATAAAGACTTTCAGCCAACCCAATACTTCAAGGTTAAGTAATATAGTGTCAGCAGATTGGATTCAAGCACACTAGTTCCAAGGGTGGGGTGTGTATGAAGTGACCAGGGATGTTTTCCACTGTCTGGGGACCCTCAAACCCTGATAAATGTGCTTGTAGTCTACAGCCTCATTTCCATCAGGAATACGTCATGTAGGGCAACAAAATAGGGAGGCCATGGCAAGGCGAACCTTGATTTCTGGTTTTTATTCTTGTCTCAGGACAATGTTTGGCTAATTATGCCACTTCCACAAGCAAAAACAGTGAAACAGATCCTTCTGAGTTAGTATGTTTTAGTATAATTACCTCTTCCAGATTTTCTCGAGGAAAAAACATTTGCTTTTTGGCTTTTGGTCTTAGTATTAGGACAACTTACAGACTGTGGGCAAAGGCTTTGTGAAAACAGGCATATTGATGCATGAGGTTAGCCTTTTTTCCTTTAACTAGGTGAAAATAAAAATTTGGCTTTAAAAATTACATTAATGCGTTTCAAGTATGCTCTGCATGTTTTGGAAGAAGCCTGGGCTGAGTTAAACTCAGCAGCTACTCTGAGCACCTCCTGAGTTTGGTGTTACAGAGCCAATCACTGACCTTGAGGAACTCTAGTCCTTTTTTAAGAAAGTCTACTCATTCAAGCCCTGGCCAGTGGCTCAGTGGTTAGAGCATTGGCCTGGGCAGTGAAGGGTCTCAGGTTCGGTCCCTGGTCAAGAGTATGTACCTCGGCTGTGGTTTCTCTCCCTGCCCCCAGTCCGGCACTTGCAGTGGGCAACCAGTCCGTGTGTCTCTCTCACATTGATGTTTCTCTCTCTCTCTTTCCCTCCCTCCCTTTGACTCTCTCTGAAGAGCAAGGGAAAAAATATTCTCAGGTGAGGATCAACAACAACAACAAAGACTCTACTTATTTGAATATCAAAATGTAAGAGATTGTGGCAAAATTTTGTTCCTTTAAAGCGGTGGGATTTTAGAAAGAAGAACTGGAACCCTGGACTTTTGGGGCCTTTGTCGTTAAAATTGGAGATCCCAAACTTTCCAAAAACAGTTTAAAGATTATCCTGCAATGAAGAGTGACACTGGACCGCAGGGATGCCTTCAAACGCCATCCACAGCTGACTCTTCCCCTGCCTGCTCCGGGAGAATGTCCACCACCTCACTTCCTCTCAGCTTGTCCTGGATGTTTTCAAGCAGCTGCTCGCATGTACCCCACCTACCGATCCTTGGCTACTCGGTGGTGCCCGCCATGCTGGTCCTTTCCTTCTCTAGCCCCTTGCAATGCATCTGCTTTCATGACAAAAGCTGTGCCCTGGTCACCACCAAAGGTACTCTAGTTGTAGGCCCACCGAGGCCCACCGCAGCCGCTGGGGCCACGCCTCTGTCAGCGCCTCCACCAATTCTGATAGAGCCACCTACTCTGTCTATAGATACGGTCAGCGTCTTTCCTCTCCTTCCCGCCTGTGGCCAAAAGGCTCAAACAAAACCGGAGCACACACCTGGATCCAGTTACCGCTCTGTTCAGGAGCCAAGTAAACAAGGAATTTCTGAGTCACAGCCTTTCTGTTCCCCACTCCCTGTCTTCTACTTGCTGCTACCTCATCAGGCAGGGGAGGCCTGACATGAGAAGCTCCATCTTTGCTTCAGACATCCCAGACCGTGTCCCCTTTTTATTCCCATTTACCATCCCCCAGGGAGGAACCAATTTAACTCCGAATAGATTCAGGGAATCTATTGTGAGGTGTGCTCCCTTCTCCCCTCACCCCCCCCCCCCCAAAATATTTAGCCCAGAGAAACACTCCCTTTCTCCTACAGTCAGCTTTGTCTGCCAAGGAGAACCAGATTTCCTGGGGCTCTTTGTCCTGGACCTTCCCATTCTCAGAGGGGTCCGGGCTGCCTCGTGCTCTTGCCTGTCTTAGGAAGGAGAACAATCTGGATCTGTCAAGAGGTTCAGAATCCCAGCCATGTACCCAGCACCCAAAGCAGTGAGGAGTACAGACTTTGGTAGCCAGACCTGATTCGGCCACTTTCTGGCCATTCTAAGACTGTCTCTTTATCTATAAAAGGGGGGAATCCTTGTGACAGTGGGGAGCACTCAGTAAGGATATATAGAGCTTAGCTTTGTATTACAATAATCACTCAGTTATTGGTTGTTACTAATAATAACAAAAATAGCTAAGTGATTCTTTTTAAATAGTAAGACTTATGGCAGTAGTGTTATGTCCTTAGCTTTTTATTTGTGCAATTCATTTTCATTCAGCTGCTAGATTCATCTGCCCAGAACATTTTGATCACCTTACTCCCCCCTGTGAAAATGTTAGATGTCTGTCCTGACCAGTTTGGCTCAGTTGGTGGCACAGCATCTCCTGCACCAAAAGGTTGCTCGTTCGATTCCCAGTCAGGGCACGTGCCCAGGTTGAAGGCTCCATCCGCAGTGGGGGACGTGCAGGAGGCAGCCGATGGATGTTATGCTGTTACACTCTCACATCAATGTTTCTCTCTTTCTTGCTTCCTCTCCCTTCCCCTCTTTCTAAAATCCAATAAGCTCTTCTTTAAAAAAAAAGTTAGATGGCTTCCCATTATTTACAAATAAAGTCTAAAGTCCTTTTCTTCGCACTCAAGGCTCTTTGATCTAGTCTCCTTTTCTGCACTAATCCTCTTCACACCTCCTCCACTCCAATTAAAATAAGCCAGCATTCCTCACATACACCCACACCCTGCGCACTGTTTGTCTTTTTACCAGAATCCAGATCTTATCTCTTCTTTGTGCCTAAGTGCCGCCTCCTCCAGCAAGCCTTCCACAGTCCATAGTAAGCCCCATAGCTCTTTACGGACCTCAAAACCCTTTCTTTGATCACCACATGGGTATCTTTGTAAACTATACATACATCTCCTATAGCAGGTGATTATTGGTGATCTCTGTTTCATTCATCTTCATATTCTTAAATCAGGGTTTTTCAACCTCAGCCCTATTGACATTTGGGGCTGAATAATTCTCCGTTGTGGTGGGATGGTGTGTGTATTGTAGGCTGTTTAGCAGCACCTCTGGTCTCTACTAATTAGTTGCCAGTAGCACCACCCTACCCCCAGTTGGGACAACCAAAAATATCTCCAGACATTCTCAAATGTCCCCTGGAGAGCAAAATCACCCCCTGCTGAGAGCACTGCCTAGGCCAAGTTTGGAAGTTTGAACATGGATGGCTCTCTGTAAAGCTTATGAACAGAAGAAAGGAGTTTGGTTTAGGCCCTTTTTAAATTTAAACAGTAGAGGAATATTCAATTAATGATATTCTTTCAGTAATTAGAAATAAAAGTATAGAGTTCCCAGGAGAAAGAACTAGAGGTAGAGATTTGAATGCCTTCAGCATGGGATCAGCCAATAGGTATTTGTTGAGTAATATAAAGTTTAAGAGTCCAGAGTCAGATATGAGTTGGGTTCCAACACTGGCCTCCCACTGTAAGCTGCCACCATAGGTGAGGATCTTAAACTCTCTGAGCTTCATTTCTCTCATTCTGTAAAATGGGATAATAACTGCAATCACATGGGGTTGTTATGAGAATAAATTAGATAATGCATTTAAAGTGGTTAGCAGCGAGCCTGCAATGTAGTAAGCACTTCATAATAGTTCAAAGCTGTCATGAATATTGTGATTTTTATTGTAAGAATGACTCATTCTTATTCCTTTCAAAGGCCTTGACAGTATTATTTCCATTTTATAGACAGGTTGTGGCTAGAACATGGATCTTCTGATCCCCAACTTCCACTGCATCACACTCATCTGACACAATGCAAATGGAATCCCATTTATAAGTAAAATCTTAACCTTTTAAAAAATTTTATTTGGAAAGTGAGTGCTAACTGCCTACAGCGAAAATTCTTTTTCACTTGGTAAATACCATCTATAACTATCACTGGGAAACTCAAGAACTACTTATTAAGCACTTTGGATAAGTAGATGTGCTAGATATAGGATATAAGACACCTGTGTTGTTAAAACAACGCACCTGCCTGTTTGTGGCTTACCAACCCCGTGAGCTTAAAGATTCTGTCCTGTCAGCTTTAGGAAACGAATTCACAAGGTTAGCCACCAGTTGGCATCAGCTCCAGGCAGCACGTGAGTTTTGGAGTAGAGCCTCCCCAGCAGCTGCCTTGGCCCAGAGCGGAAGCTGGGACAGAAGCTCACGGACAGGACAACAGGTAGGTGAGGAAGCCAACTTCCTCCGAGACAGCCAATCAGTGGGAGTAGCCACGCAGGCCGCTCTACCTTAAGGCAGAATCAGTCTCTTGCTGCAGAAAACAAACACCAGAGAGAAGGTCAGGGACATTTAGCTCCGAATGAGTTCTATCATCAACAAACCGATTGACCTGGGTAAAAACTCATCTATAATAATAAAAGGGTAATATGCTAATTAGATCGGACAGCCAAACGACCTTCCAGACGTCCTTCTGGATGAAGCTGGGCCTGCGAGGATGAGGACCGAGGCAAGCCGCCGTGGCTGGGAGGGCCAAGCCCCTTACACGAATTTTGTGCATTGGGCCTCTAGTCTGTAAAATAAGGGCATGAGATGAAGTGAGTAGTTCTTACTGCTACTCAGGTTGGAGGTGCAACACTGGACTCGTCCCCATGGTGCCCAGTCCTTGAAGCAATAACTGGCCACTAACAAAGTGCCCCGCAACTCGTCAATACACCTGGAAAACAAAAGGGTGTTTGTTTTTATGACATTCGGTCTCTTGTTTGAGAGTTGATTATTCAGGGCGCCGGGTTCATTTGCTTGTCCACTCATTCATTCAACACTTAAGCACAGCTAGGTGCTGAGCCTGGACTGGGGACCAGATACTGCCCTTGCCCTCAAATCAATCCATAGGTTGCAGGAGGAGGCATGCTGTATTGATTCCTCCAAGTATAAATCCCTGTGCTGAATCTGATAGTCGCCTTTGATCTGGGGATGGAGATCCCTGCGTCCCAAGTCCTTACACTCCATTCCTGCAGGCGGGGGAACTCTAGGCGGTGGTCAGAGGCCCCCCAGCCCCTCCTGCTGTCCGTGGAAGCGGAGGGGCCTGATGGGTTTGCCCTCGGATTCCTGCAGGTGGAGCCAAACGCCCTGGCAGGCGGCTGCGGGCCTGCTCTCTGCTCTCTGGCAGCCTCTCTCCTGTCGCTCTTTCCCTCTTTCCCCTTCTCTCTTGTGCGGTCTCCCTCCACATCCCAACCCACCGAGTGCGTCTGAGGGGAGATCGTGCCAGACTCAGAGAAAGGCTGCCAGGTTTCTCTCAAGTCTTGGCTTGAACAAAGGAAAGCAAATTACAAAAATGGAAATTTTCAAACTCGCGTTCCGTGGTATTCAAATCGGCGTTTGGGTAGCACGCAGGCACAGACCGCATTCGTGCTGTTTTGTGATTAAAATGATACCGAAAATACCTCCTCGCTGTGGTTTTCACCTTCTTGCCCAGCTCGTTTCTTTCTCTCTGCGCGGGTCCCGTCCTCTGGGGCGCGGCCACCCCTGGCCACCCTGGACGCGCTTGGATCTGTGTCGGTGGAGACCTCGCCTCTGCTGGCTTTTCTAAAAACTTGAACTTCACAAATGCCCGTGCTGTTCAGCCCCGAGCAAAACCGATCACGAAGTTTCGAGGCGCGCTCCCGGGAAGTGCTGAGTTCTGTGCGCGGGACTGCAGGTCTGGAAGAGAGCAGGAACCTGTGTGCGTTTCGTCCGAGGCAGGAGAACCCACCGTGCGCCTGCGGGGTGCGGGGTCCCCGATTCCCTCGCAGCTCCGCGTGTGCTCTGTCTCCTCCTTCGGAAAAAAAACATTTCTAAAGTGGCTCTGGAGTTGGGTCTTGCAATCTTTTACCTAACATGTAGTTGAGCAAAACACGAAGCCTGACTAATGTCCCTTTTGCTATTTGTTGCAGTTGCTACACAGGTCCTGTCCCTGTGAGTCTGTGAGAAAGGAATCCCATAGTTACCCCCTCCCCCTCCGCCCTGACACAACCACTTCTTTCCTCGGAGGCTGTCTCCATCTCACACAGCTGCTTGCAGGGCCTGGAGACAGGTGGGGGAGCAGCCTCCAGGCCAAAGCTGCTAACTCCCTCCCTAAGGACTGTGAACAGCCATTAAAATGTAAACGTCTCTCTGTCTCTCTGTCTCTCTCTGTCTCTCTCTCTCTCTCTCTCTCTCTCTCTCTCTCTCTCTCTCACACACACACACACACACTTTTTTGGGGGGTGGTCATTCGTTGTTGTACAAGGGCAGCTCTACAACAAATGGCACCAGTTTGCCAGACAGAAACGAAATGTCTGCATTCTCCCGCTCACCCAAGCATTCCCTTGGGCCACTGCTACACCTCTCTAGGCACCTTGTAAGCTGGGTCCTGTGGCCTTGGCTAAGTTGTGGGACTGATTTCGAATGATGGGAGAGAGGACCACCCATCTCAATAGGCAAATTGAAGTTTACATGAACACGGGCAATATTCAGGCACTAATTACATTAACAGGTCTCTGTTGAGTCGAGCCTACACAAGTTAGAACTCTCTACTGGATCAAGTGATAGCAAATACTAGTAAATCACGTGAGACTGGAAGCGTTTTTCAGACTTCAGAATGGAAGGATGACTTTTCCAATCTGGAATCAGACCCCTGCATGTATCCCCCAAGGCCTTTAGCTCTGAGCAGCCAGTGCTCCTGAGGGCTCTCATGCCCTGGCTTGTGCTGTTTCCCCCTCCTCCTGGCACCTTCCCCATCCTCTTCGCTGCTTAGCAAACGCTTGTTTGTCTTTTAAAACTTGTCTCAGATGCAGCCCCTCTGAAGTCCTTCATAACCATGCCCAGGTGCCAGTCCCCTATGTAGAATTAATAATCCTGTCATCTGTTAAATAGAACTGTGTGGCTTGATCTATGTAACACACGACACTGTGTTATGCATATTTCTTTATGCCTTTTTCTCCCCTGATGGAATATACTCTTTGCCAAGGCAAGGAACACATCTTGTTTACCTCGTACCCATCATGCTAAAAACTCTCAGGAAAATCTGTTGAGTGAGTAAAGAAACATGCTTGGTTTTTAAACATTTTAAAAGGGGCAATTTGTTTTCTTTCAGGGACGCCTAGTTCAACTGCCAGACACCTACGCCTCTGTCTGCAGAGATACCGGTAAAAATTGTAAGTTTAGATTAAAGTCTGATTTTCATAGCTCAGGCACATTCTTCTGCTTATGGTAAGGAAAGCTGGATGCGGATGCAGGTGGGAAATTTCTGAATCCCCTGCACCGAGTTAATACATCTGCTCCTACAAAATTCACTGAGAGCAGAGTGTCACTGCAGGTACGGAGCTGGTGAGCGTAGTTCTCCTATGGCTTTGGTGTAGCCTTAAATGTCATACTAACAAGTTGTTATTTATTAGACTTTATTCATTAAGTTGTTCCAGCTAGAAACCTGGAAAAGTCCTTGGAACCTCCCTTCCCCTCACTTCCCAAGCCCCGTTATCACCAAGTCATGTCACATTTTCTCTAAAATATCTCTCAGATTTGTCCACTGCTCTTCATCTCTGCCATTACCCTGTTCCAAGCCACTATCGCTTCCCACCTGGACCGCTGCCAAGGCCTTCTAGTTAGTCTTTCTGCTTCTTGTCTTGCCTGCCTCCTATCCTGTCACTCCCTGGCCCACCACCTTTCAGTGGCTGCACTTAGCACAATCCTTAACGTGGCCTTGGTGGTCTGTCTCCACGTCTTTCTCACTGAATATACTAGCCTTCAGGTCCTTGAACTTGACAAAGTCTTGCCTACTTCAAGGATTATCCACGTGCTTACTTCTCCTGGGAATACTTGTTCAGTCTCTTGGATCACTTCTCATCTTTCAGGAATCAATTTCAATGGCACTTTCTTGGAGATGTGTTCCCTGATTATCCTTTCCACTCCATCTCTGCTGGATCAATCTGAACCCATTTATTGTCCTTCTTGATGTGCTATTTTTTCCTTCATGTTATCACAGGTTGTCATTTAGAAAACATTGACGTTTTCATTTGTTTTAGGTCTGTCTCCCATCCACAGTAGATCACAGGAAAGCAAGGATTGTATCTTTGTTCAAAAGAGTTTACGTGTTTGCCCAGTGCACAAAATACTCTTTGGATGGTGCTGCCATGAGAAATGCTAGCAGGTCCCGTGTAACAAGACTCTGACATGAAAATAATTTCATGCAAACAAATAAATGGTAATCCAAAATGAGTCTCAAAGATGTTTATGCACATGAGGCAAGCCAGGGGAAGACTTGAGTTATGATAGGATATCCCACGGCCTTTCTCAACGGCTATTTGAAAAATAAGAAGAGAACAAGAACAAAAATATTTGTTTTACAGCTCTACCAAGACTCAGCCCTCCCCTTTCTCTCCCCCTTGCATCAAGTACATCCTGTACTTTTGGCAACATGTTGACTGGATATTTAAAAGCTGTGAACTGTTCAGAAAATTTCACATACTGGGTTATGGGCCATGTGTGTTTGATCAAAATTCAATTACTACACTGTACCATACTTGGAAACCTATCATCCCAAGTTATGAAGTATGACGAAATAGGCGAACCTAATTGGTTCAGTATGGGAACAGTATCAACCAAGCTTGTTATGATAAATAGCTTCCTGTGTTAAAGGTTCTCTAGAGCTTATAAGCATCTTGGCTCACCTCCTCAGTGGAATAGGGATATTGCTCCCAGGGACCCCCTAGATCACTGTCCCTCCAGTGCAATGGCAGTTCAGTTTTCTTCAACTTACTGCCCCTGAAAAAGAAAAACTCTGTGCAAATTTTCCTCTTCCTTCTCATTTCTTCATTTAGAATTTGAGCACCTGGTAACTTCTTTAGCTTTTTTTTTTCCCCCCTTAGAAGTACAATTTTAGAAATCATGAAGCATTCCAAATAAAATAAAAATAAAACAGACAAAACATCAGATATTACCGACCACTAAGGTTTAACAAATAATATATTTTTTTCCTATTTCCATTAGATAGATCTCTTGTTTTTGTTTTTTATGTGTCCTTTATCCTGCTTCTTGGGACCAAAGATGGACCACCATTTATTAAACTACAGTATTTATGAGACTTAGAAACTAAGTCCTAAGATGCTTTAACATACTAGAATCAGGAGGATGTACATCTCATTACAGAGAAGTACCTCAAGTTGTAAGTCTTTCTGTTGAAATGGACTCAGTGAGAATTCCTGGTCTTTATTGTAGATGAGATTATAAAGATTCATAGAGGAGGAAGGTTGTTGAAGGTGTGGGGAGCGAGCTCAAGAAATTGTCTTAACAGTTTAGAAAAGCTATAAGAATAAACAAAACCAAATACTTCCATGCTTTGTGGTCATCACGGGCACATGCACATAATTTTTCTTTAGAAGTGAGACTTTGGGTTGGATTAGAAGTATTTTCTTCTAGTGATCTCTGTAAAAGGCAAAACAATTGGGTGACTGACATTTAACTTCCGGAAAACAATCAGTAACATTGGCATTTTCCTCAGAAGACAGCTGTAAGGCCAGGAAAATTTGCATATATTTACCCTTAATTCTAGCCTACTACTTGCAGTTGCTTCTCTGAGTTTGTTCTTATTTTAAACATCCTTTGTATTAGATCATCCTCATTCACTCATTAACAGAAATGCATAATGCTACACTTGCATTTCTCCCCTGGAAAAAAGTGTTGTGTCCCATGAAAAGTTGTTTTGGTAAAAAGTAAGAGCCTTGGTTTGTCCTTGACAATAATTCATCCATCATGAGTGCTGCAGGACATAACCAAGACACAGAGAAAGACCCTTGGTGAAGGCAAATCTGCAAGCCCACACAAGGAGAGCGAAGATACCACATGGTTTAGCAGTTTGAAACCACAGTGCTGCCAAGGTTAGATTAGATTAGATTAGATTAGATTAGATTCTTGTTCTCTGCAGTACCTTAGGTTTGCTTTAGAAATTGCAATTAGATTAAAAGTTGTGATTTCAAAAATAGCACACTTGCACCCTGGCTCTAATTAAAGCATCAGCCTGCTTACCATAAGGGTCAAAGGTTCTATTCCCAGTTCCGGGCATGTACCTGGGGTGCAGGTTCCATCCCCAGCCCAGTTGGGGCGAGTGTGGGAGGCAATCAATCAATGTGTTTCTCTCATATTGATGTTTCTCTCTCTCACCTACCCCCTCCTTCCACTCTCTCTTAAAAAAAAAAAAATCAATGGAAAATATCCTCTGGTGAGGATTAAAAACAAAGGCCCACTTGCCTTTCTGTTTCCCTCCATCAACTGACTGTTGATACTTATGCTGCCATATATATGTTTTTTTCACTTAATAAACGTCTGATTTTTGGCAAATCAGCTTTTTTTTTCATTGAAATTTGCCTGATTGAATACCATGGGAGGTGGCAGAATAAATGCTATTATCTATGTACAGTAATTAAGGAAATAGTCCCTATTGCTCCAATGGGAACCAGGCTCTTCCTGCCTGTAATAACATCTATATATATAAAAGCCTAAGCGACCAAATGACCAGAATGACCGGAATGACCAGTCAACCAGTTGCTATGATGCACACTGACAACCAGGGGGCAGACGCTCAACACAGGAGCTGCCCCCTGGTGGTCAGTGCGCTCCCACAGCCCCATTCTAGCCTGCACCAGTCCCCCACCCCAGGCCTATTATCAGTTATCGTTGTTAATCTCCTATTGAGCCTAATTTATAAAGTACATTTTATGATAGGTATGTATGCATAGGAAAAAATTATGATCAATTAGATTAGAGGTCAGCAAACTACAGCCTGTGGGCCAAACCCAGCCTGTCACCTGGTTTACTGTGGCCCATGAACTGAGAAT